CAATCCAAACTATTCTATGATTCTATCTTACCTTTGTCTGCTGGAGCAAAGGAGGACCCGAATGCTAACTTGTCCAGGGAAAAGTTCAGCTCCATTAATAGAAGAACTTTTTGCATCTGGAGAGGTACAAAGAGGCCTGAATGGTGGCTGAGGATTAGCTCCTGATGATTTCCTTCCCAAGCATGATGTCCAGTGCTCATGCTGACACTAAATGGACTGATTCTAGCTCTACCTGCAGGAGACTGTCTAAAGCAGCCACTGTCATTTTGAATTACTGTAAAGCAGCTTTTCTCCATCAGAGTTGAAATGGTGGTGGTGTTGCATGGCTGAAGAATTACACAGAATTTGCCTTGAAGAAGGAATGTTTATCTAAGCTAAGCTTTTCTATGGTCTCATTAAAAGATCTTATTTATCTTCCTTTTCTTTTCTTTTTTCATTCAGGAGCTAGAAAATCAACTCACAACTAAATCCAAAACTCTTGATGAGCTCAAACAGAGTTTGGCTTTGAATGGTAGTGCAGAACAAACCCCAGAAGCTCTGTCTCTCAGGATAGCTGAGCTGTGTGAAATGGTGGACAGCATTGTAAGCCAGGTAAAAACTTTGTTTGCATTCAGATTTCCTCCAGTACATATTCTTACCACCAGTGTTATTAATCTTCTTCATGCGATGGCAAGAGCTGGTACAAAAAAGGTGCAAAGTATTCCTTACTCTTAATCTTAACCTTTCTAAGAACTTCCTTTTAAGTCTTTACCATAATGTAAATTAATGTATTTACAAGGTTGAGAGAGGAAAAAAAAGTCTGATCTCGAAGTAGTTTGAATACAGGGGGAGGAGGGACAGACCCCCATCTGCAGTTTAAGAAAATAAAGAAATAGCACTGCTATTTTTCTGTTAGAATGAAAATGGAAACCTTAAACTCTCTTACTCGATCTGCTTCTCTTTCACAGCCTGGTCTTTCTCCCCTGTAGTACGCTGGTGGAAGCTACGTACTCCTGCCCTATTCTCACTGTCGCTTTTCCATCTCCCGGTTGCTCTTTCATCCACACACCTGGATGGCTTTTGCTATCTTCAAATCCTATGTAGTTTCCAATTGCTTCAAGGAGAGTCTGGCAGATTGGTTTCCCATGCAAATTGACTCCCCAGCAGTTTGCATTTATAGTTAAATTATCTTTATACTTGGAACTGATCTTTTTTATCTAGATGTAATTGATAGGTGCAGAAGATATAACAATGAGTACATTTATGGATTTAAATTTGTGATAATAAATAACCATATACTGTAGAGGATTATATGTGATGCAGTGATTGTGTTTATAGTTAAGATTCTCTTACACTTTCTATTATAAACACCTTGCTCTTGTTCCTCAAAACTTTGTGAACCCTGAACCCTTTTGCTTGAACTCTTCCACATAAGATGTCAGTCCAGGATGGGTCTGCTGCTTCTTGTTTTAGGTTTCAACAGAAATGATGTGGCTGTTTCTTACCAAGAAAGCAGAGAAATTTTTGTATGTGTACATGATGAAATTTTTTCATTCCACTGTAGAGCTGGGGATTGAATTTGGCAGGATTGACAGCCTAGTGCTTTTTTTATCTTACAGTCACCACGGGTCACGTTAATTTTAGTGTTTTTATGACTTAAGTATCAAACTTACAAACTGCAGAATGTTCTTACAGCCTAGTTGTCTGCATGTGTAATGAAACACCGAGTGCACCTCTCTTCCCATGGGTGACTGCTCTCAGCAGCAGGCTGTGATTTCAAATATAGGTCTAAGGAGATGTGATACCTTGATTGTATTGTCGGTTGATCTCAAGACTGTGAGTCTGTGGCCCAGAGACATTTCACGAGCACAATGTCTTTCCATCTTCCTTGTGTGGGCAGTAATTAGCTGCGGACTACAAAAAGCAATTAGAGATTCCTCCCACCTATACTATGATTCAAATGAGAATAGGGATGATTAATCCATCTACTCCTGCGTGCCTGGAACTAGGATGCTAGGATACAATGATCCATGCGGTCTATTTAGTGTGCGCTATGGTGTAGAAAAGTCTTCATTTTCGATTGTGTAGATGCATAGTCAGAACTGAAATCTTGCATCTGGCTTTGCCAGGTCCCGTGGAGACATGCTTGTTTGCTTGCCTGGTTTTCATGCTCTTCTCAAATCATCTGGTACTGATACTAAACTAGATGAATTTTTTGCCTAATCCAGGACATGCCTTATGTACTTACCTGATACAGAAGGATAAAAATGTCAAATTACGCTGAAGAAGGACTGTGGTTTTGTGTTTGCAATGTCTAGGAGTATGTGGCAAATGGAAACCATGCTTGCCCCCATATAGATTAAACAACTGTAATAATGAAATCATTTAACTTTATATGAGAATCCTGAAGTTCCTAGACTGTGATTCAGGCGGGCCTGCATTATTAGAGCACAATGGCGTAAGAGGGATGATAGCTGTCCAGAATATTGTAGCAGCATCGTCTTCCATACGAAACAATTTCTGTTCAAATTTTCATTAAACGGAAACTTGATCTCTGGCTCAAACTATCTGCTTCCTAAGAAGATTAAGGCTCTCAACTTCCTCCCACTTCAGGTTAATTTTGGCAGGAAGGAGTAAGCAGTTCATTATTTCAGTACTTTTTACTTCTTGGGGCATTCTGGAGTTATGGCTGACAGAATAGTGCTACCTTGAACTCTGGTTAAATTTTTATTTCCAGCAAATTCTTATACTTCATTCTAAATACTGTTTACTGCTTGGTTTGAAGCCTGCACAACTCCTTACCGAGTAGGAAAATACTCCAACTTGTGAAATTCTTGTGGATTGTCATGGAGTGAGCATTGAGCTTAGATTTTTTAAGTCAATTTAAAGGTGATTTATATGTCAGGACTACCCAAGAAATAGTAACAAAAGTTGTTCGTTTGCAGGTTGCACAGTTAAAGACCTCAATGCAGTCAATACTGGAGCAGTGGAGAGTATATGACGAAGTTTATGCCGAAGTCAGCCTGATAACGACAAGATATTTGTACTGCATAGACCAGTGCAAACCTTCTGTAGTGTCATTGGAAGCTTTGAAAAACGAGGTCAAAACTCTCCAGGTAAATCTACTCAAGCTGTCTTATTTCTGTACTTCCTTCTGTGCCTTTAAACAAACAGACAAACAAACTCCACTGAAAAAGACAGAAAAATTTATTTGAGCAACTTCCTCTTTATTATAGTGCCATTGAAGACAGTGGAATATTTTTTTTTTTAACCTCCAGAGGCACTGAGGACTATTTTTAGACTTCTTTATTTAGCACATAAGTTCAACTTTGGTGCAATTTAGGAACTAAGGTTCAAGAGAGAAGTACAGGTCAGCTGCTACCATGTCTGCCTTACTGTGGGCTAGCAGAGCCTCCATTTTGGATTGCAAAGATCCTTTGACGTTTTAGTCTTCTGCACGTGCTGGAAGGCATCCCCATATGAAGCACCAGGTCCTCATGCCCCCTTGCACTACAGAGTCCAGATGGACATGTACACTCCACCACTATCCCGCATGCTAATGTCTACTCAGTCCATGTCTAATCCACATGGGCAGCAGGAAGTTTGGCTGAAAATACAGCTGGCAAAGGAAATGCCATCACTGTATGTGTTTGCCTAAAGGTAAAAGATGTTGGTTCTCGGCTCATTGATTGAAAGGAAATTTGCCCCTTTGCTTGCACTTCCCAGGGAAATGCCCTGCCATAAGGCTGTAGCATAACCTAGAAGGAGATGCCTGTGCATCGATGCTGGGACTCAGTGCAGAACTGAAGGAGACCTGGGAGAAAACTGGTGAAGGGACCATGTCTCTAGAACTGTGATTTGAACACTCCACTTGGGGTACTATGTCCCAGCTGCTGTGCTGGTGACCGCTGACACATTTTGCATTAAAGCATTATTTGCACTAAAGCATCTTTCCGCATATAAACAGCACTAGGGTCAAGGTCCAGGACCCAGGATTCCCCTTCCCAAAAGCTGTGGCTTGGGTTGGGTGGGTGCAGCAGCCCTGGGTCACAGCAGGCAGATCCCCAAGCCTGAGGTTTCTGATTCCTCCAGCACAAAGTCAACTGTTCAGTTGCCCTCCAGACCTCAGTTTAAAATAGGCCTCCTGAATGATTTTTTAACTTGGACCATTTCACATCTCTTTTAACTTCCTAATTTTTAGGATCAGATGTTAGATTTTTCACAAACATTTTAATCCGTGCTGCAAACGTGGGGCATTATTGCCACCCTCTCCCTACCAATCTGTAGGGGAAGCTATATTTAGGTCGCTCATCTCCACAACTAATTCTAATAATCCATTTTGCAGTCTCTTCAAGATGAATCAGAGAACGGTGAAGAAAGTTGGTCCAAGCTCCAGGCTGCTGCCACTAACCTGAAGAAGAATTGCTCCCCCTCCTTTGCAGAGATTATTGAACAGAAGTGCACGGAGGCACACACTAGGTAAGCTTGCAAAAAAGACCCCCCGTTATTACTATTTAAAAAAAAAAAAACAGTTGCTGAGGCGGGACTTGAATGTCTCTCAGATTTTTAAATCTATATTAATACGACTCACCTGTCTAAGGGTACCTCTGTGAGGAGTAGCTGATACTACCTTTTTTGTGATGGATCACAGAGCACAAAATGGTGCTGTGTCAGCGGGCTTTCAGTAACATGGGTATGAATGCAAAGAGACTCCCACAGGAATCCTACACCAAGTCATATTCTGGAGGAGAATCTGCTAGGAAAATGCTCTTATCCTTTTATATGTTGGTAGGTGGAACTCAGTAAATGAAGACATCACAGATCAACTGCGGGCAGCACAAGCAACCCTGCAGCTTTGGGAGCCCTTTGATACTTTATGCACTGAGGCAGCAGCCAAGTTACAACAGCACAAAGAGCAGTGCACTCAGCTCTTGGATGCTCACATGCCTGAGGATAACATGATAGAAACCCTGAAGCAGAGGATACAGGATATAAAGGTACATGAATATGTTTCTGCTGCCTGGTACAAACCAGGATTTATTTTGAGAAACAAATCAAAAGAACACCTTCTTCCCCCTCCTCCCCCAAATCCAGTCAGTGGAAACCATAAAATCTGTGGGTTTTTTCCATTAACAGGCACCTTTTTATTTCGCTTAAATACTTTGCCCAGATCCTGAGACCAAACCAAACTAGTGTTAGCATAGGATGAGAAGAGAGCAGAAGGGAGCAATCATATTCCATCTCTGCCCCTTTCTGCTCTATACAAAGACTCAGGCCTGTGTTGGAAGGAATCATTAAACCAAAAATGATCTACTTTATGGGGCACTGCTTGGGAGGAGAGATAATATCTACTAGAACGATAGCTGGAGAAAAAAGACTAGTTATCCAGAACACAGGACCATCTTGAGGTCTTCTGCAGTCTTCAAATTGGTTTTAGTTGGGTTTAGTGCTTTTTTTGGCCTGGTCTGATAAGTTCACAGATTTCTGAGCTTATTAGATTATTCTAAATGCTTCTGACTTTAGGCAAATGAGATGTCATGCTGAGACCACAGGGTACATTTGACTCTCTCAGGCAGCAAAGCTGTCATTAGGTTCTGACATTTTTGGTTTCTTCAGACTGCAATAAAGAAATATAATAATCCTTATTTCAGGACAGAGCAATGATTTATCATGCTTTATGAACCTCTAGCCACGTATTCGAAGAAGTCCAAAGTACTCCATTTTGCATGTGGCCAATTAAGAAACCTTACATTATGGGAAAGAGAACTCATATATTTCTTCCTGTGTCAGAAACAACGGACAGCAGCAAAGCTTAGAACAAAACATTTTCACTTCCTTCTGATCTATTAATGGCTGTGACATAAACTCATCAGTATGTCAGCAAAAAGGCATCACATTTTCTGGAAATTTTTGGGAAGAGTTTTGTACCTACTAAGCAAAGCATGAACACTAGAGTGCCATTAGCACTGTAGATCCTGTCCTGTTATGTGTGGGTAGGACACACGGAATTTATTGTGTTTTTTTGAAAGTGGTGAGTTAGAAGAATGGGGATCAGTGATATGGCATATGAGTTAACATGTATGTGAAAATATGTGTGCATTACAAAACTGTATTTTAATCTCTCTACTCTTTTCCTCTAGTATATATTAGGAAAGATTATGGTTTTATGGAACTGTGTCGCCACAATAAATAAAAATAAAGTCCTATATAGAGAGTAAGAAATCAAAATGGGTTATTTACTAAATGGCTGAAGTGGAGTTTACAATATGATCCATTCCAAAGACAGGGGTCAGGAACTAAGAGTCATTTTGCTTTTTAGGGAAACGTGTCTACTCTTCGCTACCAATCAGAAGTCTTTGTTCATTACTCACAGAAAGACAACATACAGTGGTAAATTCCAGGGGGTTTCATGGCTAAAAGTAAATGGCAGTTGTCCAGGTCAAAAAAAATAACCAAGTACATTGAACAAGTATAAAATGACTCCCATTGTTCTTGTACTGCCTTTAGAGTTTAATTTTATAGCATCATTTCTGTAGTAAAGGGGACGAAATAAAACCAAAACCATAGTCCTCTTGTCACTAAGGGATCCAAAATACTGGTATGTTTGTAACATAATAGCATTTCTCATCTGCAGTGTGGGCCAGTTTCTCCATCTGCTAGTGTAAATCCATTCTGTAGAGAGGGATATTCTGATTTGTCTCCCTAGTCTCCTCTGTAGCAGTAGTATCCCACTGCCTGAAGTCACTGGTGTTCCATTGAACTTTGAACTGTGCCTTTCCCAGCACTGTAGTCAATGGATGCAATTCCCATTATCCTCCGAGTAAAAGACTGAAACTTTCACCATAGCTGAATTTGGCTCCCGGAGATCAACAAAAAGAGCTTAGTTACAGCAACAAAAGATACTAAATGAAAGTGGCACATGAATGACGATCTGATTCATTTGCTGACTTTTTTTTCTTTCCCCTTCTCTCATCAGAATTTACAGCATGGCCTTCAAAACATAGCAGGATGCCGTACCCAGATTTCTTTGCTGGCTGATAGGATAAAACAGCAGGCTGGGACAGCTGCACAAGCCATTCTGTTGGAGAAGCTGCAGCCGCTCCAGAGAGCATCCTATTTGGAAAAGATGTTGCAGAGGAAGTTAGATGAATTTGAGGTATTTTTTTGAAGGTTAAATTAGCTGTCAGTGTGAGGTAACTTCTTCACTAGAGCCTTGTAGTTCTTGAATTGAAATGAAATTTCAATAAAACAAAACTTGACAGTATGACCAACTGTGTAAAGAAACAATACATGAAGCCAGAGGGACAGATGAAGGAAGGGTTTTACCCTTCGTACCTGCTTGTGTTGCTCTAAGAAGCCTTTGTAAGTGGACCTATTACAGTCAAACAGTACAGGACCCTCAGGTGATTAAAGGTTAGGAAATGTATTTTTATTCTATGAACTTCGAAGTAAGTTGTAAGCTTTCTCAGCTCTGCCTTGGAAAAAACCTAAGGGCCTCAGTTCACTTTGATAAGAGTGCACACAATGTGCCTAAAACCAAATGGAAAACTGTGGTCATTTGATGTAATTTTGAAGACCAGATTCATATCCCTGTTCAGGCAGAATAGGGAGGGACCTGGATCCAGGTTTCCCCATATGATGCTGTGCTCACAGGAGTGCTGTGGGATTGACTTCCCCTCTGCACAGGTATTCCTGAGAAAACTTCCATGCAAATGTACTGCTGTACATTTACTGATGTAAAACTAGTTTGTTCCTGTGAAAAAGTCTGGTTTCAATGAATTACTCTGTTCTAATGTAAACCCAAATTCATCAAGAAATTTTCAACCGGCTCTATTGATGACTCCATCTACCAGCACAGTTCAATGGCTGGAAGCCAGATATCTTTGTGAAGGCAACAGATTTCTCGTATTCCCTGTGAACTTCTTGCTCCATGAAAAAGTTCATTTCTGGGTAGTCATTTTCTCTGGTGTAGCCATGTAGCATTACCACAGAACTGTCTCTCTCCCCACACCAATTTTTGCCATTCATTCCTTATAAAAATGTTGCTGTTTCAGTGTTCTTAGAGATGTGGAGCTTAACTCTTTCAAGAAAGAAAAAGCTTCCCCAGTGCTCTTCTCCCTGACCCAAAGAAACCAACCTAGTGAATAAAAAAGTTGAATTCCAGCCCTAGTTATTTCTCTCGACAGAGCTCATGTAATCTGTACAGCCTTGGCTGTAGGCACGTGGGAGCAGACCCTGTGTGTAGCTCAGAGGAAGCTCATTTTCACAGGTTTCTTCCCTCTGATAAACTAAGTTTTGGCTTTCCAATTTCACAATAAATCAAACAGCCCAAAGCTACAAAAAGGTATTGCAGATGCCCCTATTCCTTCTATACATTTTTATGAATCTCTCAGGATTTAGAGATTCAGTTTCTGGCTTTCTGCTTTGGCTTAAATTTTCCCCTTATGCAGTGTAAAAACAGAAAAAGTTCAGTTAGTGAGTTATAAATACATTGGAATTTGGATTTAACATCTGTTTGTTTTCCTGACAATACTGCTTATTGCTCCTTTTTGTATACTGAATATGTATATTAAATCATAATTAACGTAAATATGCAATATTCACCCTAGTTCAATCTTTTACAACTGGAGGATTTCAAGAACTGCCTTGAAACACTGGAGGGTCATGTCAAGAATTGCACAGATGCCTTCGATAGTCTCTGTCTAGAGGGAGAAACAGACAACTCAGAATTGCTCATGGTAGGTTTGGATTCTTAAGTACAAAAAGATACATACTTGGGATTTAAGTGTCTGTAGAATACCAGCTCTTGTTCAAGAAACTCTTTGTTCCCCAAGTATCATAGTTACAGCACTTCCATCAGAGTAACTATAATCTCATCCAAAACACAAAAAGCAATGATTTAAGTTCATAAAAACTCTAGTCCATCTCCTAACCCAGGGTTTGAGATTCAGGTTGCGACAGTATTGCAGACCAAATGCCTGCATGGAGGGGAGGAAAATCACATAGATTTTGGGTTGATGGAAGATCTTTTTCCCCAGCTTTGCTCTGGACCTACCCTGTTGCCCTCAATGTAGGGTACGAAGTAAATCTGCAAGTACCAGCTCTTGAGTATCTGTTCAGTACTGTTGGAAAAGTGGGCCCTGTGTAAGGGAATTGTGACTTTTTTGTTTCTTATATTCTTCAAAGTTAACACAGAAATGTTTTTTGGTTAGCATTTTGGATGCATAACGTTCAGATGTTTCCTACAGAAAAGACTTCTATATTTCTTTGAAATGAAAGAGAGGCAGTATTTTTTGCAATTAATTTATTTTATTACTTCCAGAATCATACACTGGAGCTTGCTGCGCTTTCTCCAAGCATAGAGAGTTTGAATGAAGCAAGCATTAAGGTGCCACTCAGTGACTTCACCCTGAAGAAAATGCAGAGCCTGACCCGGCAGTGGAGTCAGAAAACAGCAGCTGCTCTGGAACGCTGCAGGTCTGAAATGCAAAAAAAAAATCACTACTAAGCATTTCCTTTTCTGTGAGGAAAATCAAAACCAAATTAAAGCATGGGAAGTCTTGCAATCTGTTCTCAGCTTTCTCAGGGGCTTTCCAAGTTGAATTCCTGCCCTTTCAATTTACTCCAGATTATTCAGTGGCTATTTGTATTCCAAGTCACTTGAAGCAAAAATCTGGATGTTCGTAGGTGAAGAATGTAGCAAAGTGCCAAGCAAAACCTTACTACATTAGTGTTACTAACTACCATGTTAGACCATATGCAAACATATCCAGAAAAACAAGCACCAACACAATAGTTTCTGATAATTTTTGTTTTACAGTGTGCTTGAGGGAACTCAAGATGATGAAAGGAAATTCTTTCAGAAATGTGAAAACTGGATGAAATTCCTAGAAAAAATGAAAGAGGCCTTAAAAACAAATATTCCAGGACGGTTTGAAGAACTGCAGAAGCAACAGAGAGTATATGAGGTAAAGCTAACTCTAAAAATGGAAGCATCTTCTTGAATGGTGAAGGTGGGGGGAAATCACTAGAAAATACTATGCCTTTTGAAATTAGATCTGGGCAGTGTTGTAGAACATTTCACTCTTGACATGTGGCCTTAATCAGAGGAAAACTTTGAAATGTGAAAATCCTTTTCCAAAATGGATGAATCCCTTTTTGCAGGGATCAGACCTTTATGAGTGCATCCTCAAGAGTTGCATCATGGAAGTCCTAGATTTCTCCAACCCTGAGATTACTCACCTGTCTGCCTGTCCTACAATACTGAAGCCTGTGGCAACTAGCTTGGCACTTTGCTGGCGATCTGGCAGAAACCTTACCAGTTTCTGAAAGAACTGCATTTAAAACGAAATCTTTTCACAGCATATTTCCATTTTGACCAGTTGTTAGATTTTAGTGGAAATCTGTTTCACTGGCATTTTTCAAACACTTGCTATTTGTTATAGAGAGATGGTGCTTTACACATGTATGACAGTATCCATTCAGAGAAGAAGGTACACTGCATGCTATGAGTAGCATGTGGATGCAATTCTAAGCGAAGTGTCTATCTATAGACTTTGTCCTAGCGGCGGGAGGATGGAAAAACAACCAAAATACAGAAAAAAAATCATGTGGTAAATGCTAAACATCATGAGCTGTTAGGGTGAGCTTTGTGTTGCTGCAATGGACCACAGCTTCACACTACCCAAAGTACTGCTGCTAATTCCATGGGGTGTTAAGTCTTTGCACATTAGTGATATTCATTAGGGTCCACAGAAAGTTATTTTCTCTCTTTTACTTAGACCTCTACAATTCATTCATTGCAATGAAATTTGTAGAATAAACTTTTGCTATTTGTGATAAAGAGTAAATTCACCCTTATATGTAGCTTTTTTATACCTTTTTTATGGGTTTCTGTCTAGACTGCATTTCTCATTCGTGAGTCCAGCAAACATCAGGCCTCAAATTACCTGTAACATACAGCTCCTGGTGGGTTCTGCTATCACATATGTGCAAATTTCCCCTGGTATCCAAAAAGTGTGGAATCTTTTAGGATGTATTTGGCACTAGCACTTGAAAATAATAGAGCTTTCAGCATTTAAAACTAAATAAATGCTGTCACTCTAGAGCAGCAGAACCAGCTTTCATAGCAAAAGTTGTTCAGTGAATAGTTAAAACTGTTCTCATGTTTTTTTCAGATGCTGCAAACTGAGATTTCCATAAATCAGCAGACATTTAATTCTATCATAGCAAAAGTTCTACTCTTCTTGGAATCCGGAGAAGCAGAGAAAAGGTAATCTATTTGTTTTTCTCCCTAAGATCTTGGTAATTCAGTGAATGTGCTCTCTGCCTTGGAGTCGGTATTGAATCTTTGCTCTCATGAGGACATAAACCCAAATTCTTGACTGGGTTCACTCTTTAAATAACCCCCTGGCACATTTTGCAGAAGTGTGAGGGGGTGCAAGAAGAAAGAAATACAGGTGCCCAAGCCAGACGGCATTTTGGATAATAACTGGATGTTCCGCCTAACAAAAATAATTGCTCGTGGGCAGGTGGCTTCCTTGTCTACTGCTACCCCGCAGTCGCTGAAATTGTAACTGCGGTCAGCAAGCTGCCTTCCTGCAGAGGGTAATGATGATGCTGCATATGAAGGATCCTTTCTCTCTTCCTAGATCTCTCTACTTTTTAAAGTGCAGAGGTGTGAGACTATCCACATTGCCCTGGCACGCATGACAGGGCATTGAGTCATCGGCCACGCAATCCAAAACATATGGTAGCTAAACCTGTTTTTTATCAGAATGATCTTATACTTTTCTCTTAATCAGTGTAGAGTGAGAAGCAGCAAGTAATACTTGTGAGCAGAGGTTCAACTGCCTCAGGCATTTCTGCTGTGAAGACATTACCCCTCTCTGCCAGAGCTTTCTGCTCCCAGAGAGTTGGCAGGACAGTGTGTGTGCTCCCCTCAGCCACTTCAGTATGAAGTCCCTAGCTTGGCTTAAAAGTGCCAGGGAAGGTAGGGGCTTAAAAGTGCCAGGGAAGGTAGGGCTAAACTAAGCAAAGCTGCTGGGTTTTTGTGTTGAAGCTAGGCCCACAAACACAGGTGTTTGTATAAGAGCTACTCTGGGGGCCATGGCCTCCTGCAGAGGAGCAGAATTGATAGGTGGGAGTTGTCTTAACCACTCCAGCTAGATCTGCTGGATCATCTAATCATGTTGTAGGAGAGGCCAAAAAACTGCTTGAATGGGTTCAATAACAACACAGAGCCTTTTCACTTTGCAGTTAGGTCCCGCTGCTGAAGGGTACAGTGATGGTTGAACTCCCACTTACACCCTGGTAAAAGCACAGATCAATTTTGCAGCGTAATCAGAGATCTTGTCTCACTTGCATTGACCACCTTCTTCTTCAGAGAAGTGTTTACTGCATATTGTTTCTGTGATTGCTGTACTATATATGTTGCTATACCACAATAGCAAGAATGACTTGCATTATCCATTCTTGTATCATGTAAAAGTTTCTTTGGATTGCTTAAAAGATGGAATACAGAGAGCAGGGCTGAGCTTAGGGCTGCGTAGAGCTTTTTGCATAGTTGGGTATTGTAATTGAGAATGGAAATCCATCACAATTATTGTAAAATGCAGCCTTGAGGTCAAAATATATTAACACTCAACACTTGTCATCTTCAGAACAGCGTTTATTTCCAAGCTCACATTGCTGAAAGAGCAGTGGCAGAATGTTATCCGGATGGTTCAGCAGAGGAAGAAAGATATCGATGAACTTGTGAGCCAGTGGCAGCTCTTCAGGAGTTCCCTGCAGAGTCTGAGCAGATTTCTTGCTGATACAAACAGCTTCCTCATAGCTGTGAAGAGTCAGGACTGCTATAGCCTTTACCAGCTTAGAAATCTAATTCATGATTTCAAGGTACTGTATTTATTTCTCATAAATCTAAAACCTGTGTTTTTTCTCAGACTGAAACAACTTCTGTCCAGTAAGGTAAAAAGATTTAAAATCACATGCTTTTTGGGGAAAAACAGTTGCTGACACGTTTTCTTAAAGCTGAGCACAGATGAGAAAACAATGACATTGTGAAAGGCTCATTATACTAGGAAACTTCCTGGTCAATATTGTCATTTAGTAGCCTTGTATGCTTTAAAAATATTACTGATATGAACATGGAAATGCAGGGTGCCAGGGAGATTAGGCAGCAACCCTGGTCAGCAGGTACCCTCTAGGTCTGTATGCACTTATTGACATGGCTGCTGAATATGTGGCAAGACAGGCCATGTGGGTCCTGTGTACGCAGGGATGGGCAGGAGGTGCTGGGAGCAGAGGATAAAGCACTTGCAAGGGTATCTGTCCTTGGAGCCACCACTCCAAGATGCACAGCTCTGGACAGCAGTTCTTCAGGGCAGTGAGTTCTGCATTTTACGTGCAGTGGAAAAAAGTATTTTCCTTTATTAATTTTGGATATCTTGGTTTTCCATTTAATTATGCACCTCTTTGTTTTACAAGAAAGTAAAAACAAGCAGTGAATGTGATGGTTGCTTAAGGCAATCTAAAACCTTCAAAAATACATTATTGAATGCTATTTGCATGGTCCAAGATTTATTGTGTTCCCACACACCTAATGTTGATGGATTAATACATTACCAGTATTCCATTTGTCGCTTGCCCTATTTATTTCATCTTTATTTTTACCTGCTGTGTAAAGATGATATTCAGGAGATTTTACAAGTTAGTGCTCATGCTTTTCCTTAGTGAGAAAAGCCAGAAAGTCCTCTCCCTCCTACTCCAAATTGCCCTTCCCTCCTGCTGTTGTTTTACAGGAAGAAACAGTGATCATATCTGCTTGTGTTACAGACCAATTTGTGTTGTAGGCAAATTATTATTGATGGCTTACTTTACTTGGAGTATGTCATGATTAACAGAGATGTTATCTCTGAAAAATTTGTCTTAGTTGTTGATGCTAGAGGTGCTAAAAGAACTTAAACTGTTTTTTTTATTCTGAATAACTCATACAACTGAATTTCCATCCTTTTGTAACTGCTGCACTTCCACTCTATAGATTCAGTCTGTGAAAAGCTATTGTAGAGTTTTATAGATCAGAAGGTCAGAAAGGATCTGATTTTTCTGAAATTAAAAAAGTAGATAGGAGAAGATCTATTCATTACACTTTCATGAACGTGAACAAACTACTGCCTTGTAACTCCCTTTGTGAGTCTTCATTTCTTCCCAAGTGAAGTGCTAGGAGTGCGCTTCTAAAGCTTGCTAAGAACAGCTTAGAAGCTTAAGATTTCTTGTTTTTTTTTCTTTTAAAGAGCAAAGCAGTGATTCTTCAGAGGTGGCAAGCCATGTACTCCTTAATCATCGATGTCGGGGAGAAGTTGCGCACTGTTTCTGATCCCGAGACCAATGCTGTTCTCCAGGAGGAGCTCAGCCAGTTACAGCAGAGTTGGGGGGACACCCAGGTCCGGCTGGAAAAGAAGAAGGTGCAGCTTAGCAGCACGCTACAGGTAGATGATGCCCTCCCCCAGGGAGAAGTGGCACCTGCTTCTCTGGTGTTGGGTCTCAAGAGCTTCCCTGCCCCACCATCCCCAGGGCTGAGCTCTGTAGCAACAAGGCAAATGCTGAGCTGCTGCTCGCTGCCACGGGGCTCTGAGGGAAGTGCCTGTCATGTGCCACCAGGGCACGTGGGAAGCTAAAACTGTGGTCCTCTGATTCTCCAAAGGAAAATGGAGTTGGCATCCATTTGTTGCTACAATGGATGTTCCCACTCTGATTGTTCTCCTGCTCACCATGGCCTGGAGCTCTCTCTTGCTTCAGGCCAAGAAGCCTGAGCTAAAATTTAGCTTAGATGGAGTTAGCATGACTTGTTGCTCCTCCTGTTGTTGCACCTCTGAACAGAAGGGTAAGTCATATTTATTTCCTTAGAGCAATGAATTTGTTTTCATGGCTAGACAGCATATAGGTATGTCTTAAAATTGAATACTGTTATCGATACGATTCCTGCCCAAAAACTATGTTTAAAGCCTCTCGGGTTGGACAAAACAAAACGAGCAGAAATGCTCTGTAAGGCAAACCTTAAATACAAGAGAGGATTCAAGTTCTGTAAATCCATGCACCAAATTCTTGTGGGTGGTACTATGTATCAAAAAGAAAATCCAAATAACCAGAGCACATGATTATTTACTTCAGTGGGTTGAAGAGGTTATTTTGTAACATATCCATGTGGTTCGATATGTCATGATAAAGTATCTTCATCTTTTATAACTTCCTCCGGTCTCCCTGAGCAGAGTTGGGACTGCTGTGAAAAGCAAACCAAGGAATTAGGAAGCAGGCTGCAAGAGCTAAAGGAGAAAATAAAAGATCCACTTCCAGTTGAACATGAAGAGCTCTACAAAGCCAAGGAACACATTAAGGTATTGAACAGCCATATCATATTTAAATAGATGTAATCTTTGCACAACACCTGATCCCTGTAAAATCAGTTTTCCCTCTTACCTGCTCTTCAGTGACACTGAATTTCTCTCCTTTATACCATCCTGATTGTTGCCAGTCAGCAAAGTCCAACTGACCAAGAAGATTACAAGAAGAGTAGCAGTGTTTGGATTTTTTTTCGTGCTGCTGCTCCCTTTCCACAGTCTGAATTTATAAAATAAGCAGTTCCTCAAACAAAAGGGAAAAAACTCCCTGGTCTCAGCTCAATTGGCTGCTATGCTAATGGCTGAATCTCCCTTTTTGTTTTCCAATCCATTTTGGACAGGGAGCTCCTCAGGCGAGAGACCTTGTAAGTCTGCAAAACACCATGCATACCTGCGGGATCTGAGAATGATTAAAGACAAGGAAAATTAAGAGTAAGGGAGTGGCAAAAGCCCTTGCAGCCCATAGTGCACCATGAAAATTAAATAGCAAGGAAAGCATTTCCAAGGGATAGGAGACATTTTGTCTGGACTGGTCAGTCTTTCATCATCCTTTTATGAAGTGAATTGTTGACCTATGTAGTGGGAACAAATAAGCTTATTAACGAGCGAAGGCTTTGAACTCATTATCAGCTGTCTGAAATCTTCTTTGTGAGTGCTGGCTGCCTTTCCCACGGCAGCAGTCTTGCTGTAGCCCTGAATTATTTGTGAGATGGCAGCACGCAGCTCCTGCCTCTTATTCCAGTAAGAGAAATTCAGCCACAGAGGCGTCAGGGTCAGACAGTGCCAGTGCAGTTGCTGCTCTTGGGTGTCACAGTATAATAAAATAAAGGACCAAAATGGCATGGGGGAGAAGGGGCCTCCTTTCTTCTCCCTGCATTTCACTCTTCTATGGAATGAAGCTGTTTTCCTCTTAGGAAATATATGAGACTAGCAAAGTCCCAAGAAATTCCATCATTAGCTCCATTAATGCAGGGATTCGACCCTTGTTAAGATATATAAATGCATGTATGCATATCTGTAGGGAGTAATTTGTTGTGAGCTCAGGTAAATTTTAGTCTCAGGTTTGTTTTTTTTTTTTCCTCCAGTGTTGAAGCAGATCAGATTTTTTTTTTTATGATTTAGATAAGTGGTTGAATCAAAAGACCTGTGAAAATGCGTGCAGGGCTTGGAACCAGCGCACTTCTGATACAAACACTTACAATTTTTTTCCCTTTAAAATGAGACAAATTGGATCCTCTATAAGAGCTTTTTTTGTTAGAGGAGCCAGTGACACTTCCCAGCAACCGCCTTGCAAATGGGACCTAGTACCTCGTGTGTAGAGTATCCTGTTTCCCAGCTGCATGCAGTGGTGACAGTTTTAACACTGCTAAGGAAAAAGCATAACCTTGTTATAAAGGGAAAGGGGAGTCTGGGGAACAAAGCAGAAGAGAGAATTCTGTGAATGAGCAGTTTAAAAGCACTACTTATCTGACAAATCTGATGAAGTGCCTGTGAAATCATTCATTAGAGAAGGGAATCAATTTTATTTTTTTAGCATTTAAATAAATAACCTGAAATTGGAACAAATGCAGGTGGAAAGCAACTTAGCAAAAATAATAATTAAAAAAAAAACAAAACCCAAAGAAGTGGGCAGTTTCTTCTTGGATATGAAACCCCAAATGCTGCCCTGGAGCATGGGGAGCTGCAGGGGGTCAGGCAGCGTTTCGGCACTTTGGGATGCAGCGGAGGCTGCTGCTGCACCAGTTAATCAGGGGCAGCTCTGCCCTGGGCTCCAGTGGGCTCCGAGTCAGGCCCTGAGCCAAATACACGGGGACCCCGTCCAGTCCAGCTGGAGAGCGGTGCACAAGCGGCTGCACATTCCCCTCCTCTCCTCCCCCACAGGCCAGGCAGGGGATTAACGAGCAGGTTTGGAAACCAGAGGAGCTTAGTGCCAAGGCTTGTTCTGGGTGTGTTTCCATGCAGGAGCTGGAGCAGTCGCTGGCAGACTGGGCCCACAACATGAAGGAGCTGCGGGCCATGAAGGTGGAGCTGGCTCACTGCATCCTCACCGAGGACATGATGGTGCTCAAGGAGCAAGTTGAACATTTGCACAGGCAGTGGGAAGAGCTCTGCTTGCGAGTAAGTCTTCTGCCTCCTCTGGGGTTTTACAGCGGGATATTCATAGGGCCTGGCAGAAAAGGGGTAGCGGGTTAGCAGAGGGGATTTCTCTTGGGGTTGGCTCACTTTTGCAGTCTTGGGTGGGGATGAGGCTTCTCCTGGTGCAGCTGACCAGGGCTGAAGTTTGCCCTTTGTTTCCTGGACACAGCCTGCTAAGATTTTTTTGTTTTTTCTTTTATTTTGCAAACCCTTTGTAACTGGTGAGTGCCTGAGTTGCACAGAGCTCAAATGCAGCTGTTTACTGAAATAGGTGGCTTTGTTCTGGGCTGCCAAAGGGCGGGCGGGAGGGAGAGAAGATAAACACAGGAGTTGCCTGAGGGCATGAAGCAGGGAAAGGAAGGGGGAGGTCTTTGCAATCTGATGGTAAAAAAAATGCTGGGAGAGTTGATAAAGAAAACTTGCATGTGTTTAAATGCTGACTTCTTGGGTTTAAACACATTAAGAACTGACTTGTCTTTTCTGTAGCAGTAAAATACTGTGAAACGTTTGCATTCTTTGTGGCTTATTGCTATATTACACTTAATTTAGTGCTGCATATAAAATTGCTGGGGAACATTTACCAGCAAGGTCACATGAACTTGATTCACTAAGTTATTATGCAGTTTGAATGTGTGTTTACTTTGCCCTGTTAACAGGATTGGAAGAAGTAAAATACTTTGGGGTCTTAAGTTACTCTGGATGGCTCTACATGCCAGCAAGCCAAACTTTTGCCTCTCTTTACTCACAAGTCAATAGCTTTTATTTTACAGTTTGTAAAGAAGTATTGAAGCGAGTTAGTATTTCATGTCTAACCCTTACTCAGGCAAAGGTAAAGCAATATTGGTGGGACTATTGCCAGAGTAATGAACAGCTATGCTTATTTCACAAACTTTGGTGTGATGAAATAGTTATTTGGGTTTATTTTTTGCGTTGCAATGCAAAAGAAGAATTTAGTATCTTTGCCTTAAACTGGATGGTTAATCTACAACCAGCATTTTCTCTGTTACTGTTTCTGAACTCTGAAAATAATTCCAGAGACACCTTCCCCCCTCCTGAGAAGTATAGGCCATTATTTTTAAATCAGAATGCCTGAACCATTTTCCTAATGGAGATCTGTAGTTAAGCCTATAAATGAGAGAACTTTGTTGTTTTTCCTTTTTTGGTGAACTGCTGATGCCTGCTGTTTCAACTGTGGTGAACAGCCCTGAAAATTAAGCTATCTTTTGCATGCACCCCACTACAGTCTATCCACGTAGTAATTTCCTGTCGTAATTTAAGTTCAGATTTTATTCAAAATTTCTATTTTAATTTCCTGAGGGAACAACGTTTAGTTCAGTCTGTCTTGGAGAGAAGAAGGGGGTGACATTAATGTGACTGTGTTAGGCACACAAAAGTCTGTAGTGGGAGGAATCTATTCAGTGTTGCAGCGGAGGGACATACTGAAATGTTTACACAGCCCTAATGAGCCTCTGGAGAGCCTGCACTGATGCTCAGCGCTGGACACGAGGGTAGGGAAGCAGACTTTATCGGTTCTGCTGCTAGCACATCTGCTTTGTTTTGGCTAACAAATTAGAGGAGTTTGATGTATTGTGTGAAAAACAAATCTGCAGTATAAATGCAGAGGGGTGAAAGCCTTTAAGAGCGAGACGCGGCTGCAGCTGTCACAGCCACGGGAGAGGGGCAGCCAGATGCCTGTGCTGGACTGGGCAGGGACAAAAACACACTTAGTGAGCAGATGCCCTCAAGAGATTAGCGTTCACATAGCTGCCCTTGCAAGGTACGTGTTAGGTCAGAGATTTAACTATTCATATCAGCAAGTATCCTGTCCTAATGAACTCTAGCATACGGGTTGGGCATGGGCCTTGATATTCTTTTAGCCTCCCTTGGGAATGCTCAGATTGCTCCTGCATCACACTGTGGACGCAAAATGGAGCTGGTACCGGGGCAGCTGGTCCAAGGAGAAAGTGCTCAAAGCAATGGCTTGAAGGGCTCATGTTCCTAGAAGCTTGTCTGGGATTTTTTGGCTCATTCCTGTTTTACCCCCAATCTGTATTGCTTACCCAGCTAAAAGATGCTTCATGCTCATAGAATCCTGCCTTGCCCCATGCTTAGGAGGCAAAAATGGAGTCAGGATCATTTCAGGATTTAATGATGGTTTTGCTGACATACATAGTCTCTTCTGCTCACCAAGTTAGCTCGTCTCCGCACATGGGAGATGCTGCAAGTGGTAGAGGAAGGATGAGGGATTTACCCTTCATACCTCTGAGGCTGAGGGTATGAGGGAGCATCCCAGAGCAGAGGCCCTTTTAGGGAGACTTTCTGAGGACCCTGGGGTCTCCAGGAAACTACTTCTCATTGAGAACTTTAGAGATTGTTTCCCTATGCTTTTGGCCTCATCTCTTTGCTTAGATCAGCATGAAAGATTTAGAAATCATTTTCACCTCCACATCCCCTCCTTAAAAAAAGTCAAAATTTGAAGGACAAAGCAATATAGTGAGAGATCACTTGGTGCCTCCTATTTTTATCCTGGTGTTATGTGGAGCTGGTCTTGCTTCCACACTACAGACTTAAACTTCACTCTGAAGTACAAAACAGTGTTAGAGATTAGTCTAGGAGAATCAATAATGGAATTTTGAGGAGTCATATGCTGTATAAGGTGCATGTGAGAGGTGAAGAGGGAATGTTCCCTGCCATGGGGTGATATTTAGATGGCCATTTGCAGCTAAGGGAAGCAAAATGTTATGCTCAATCTTCGTTACTCAAAAGTTTATTGATAAGGGTGAGGGATTAGTTGTTTATCTTGTTTTGGTTTAGTAGAATTTGTACCATTTTTTCTTCCTTTGTCCCATACATCTTAGTACAGGGATCCATCGAAGTAGATAAATGAATACAAATATATATTTAAGACTCTTAGGCTAGAAATAAGTACTATTAGCTAGTAGAGCGGCCCTGCTTCTTTCTGAGATATGGGAGCAGTGCTACTAGCTTTGCTGGTTCAGGCAGCAGCAGACCTTTAATTTCTCTGTCTAGACAATTTGTTTATCTGTCCTGGCAAATGTAATTTTGAGGAAAAAACCTATAGTTTTCAATAAAAAGCATAGATTCTTGACGCTGTTTTTTTTTTTAAATTCTCCAAGAACTGGTGAGCAAATGGGAAGAAAAGAGGGAGATTTTTATAGAGATAAAATAATTGCAGTCAGTAGTTGCAAAGTTCCTCTTACAGTTGCAGAAAAATAAGAACTTACCTAGGTGTTATTTCTCCTGTGTTATATATGAGACCGTACTAAACAGTATGTAGTAATTATATATTTTATATTCCTTCTTTGTTTGGCATTTTCAGGTTTTCACTGAGTAATATTTAAATTGTTATATAAGCTTATTATTTATAAAGCTGTCACTCAGTTTAATTCTTTCGAGGGAGAGAATCTGGTGTTTGCTAGTCAACTTTTGGCCCTGCTATCCAAAATAAGATGTAATAACAATCTGCTTGCTGGCTTTGAAAAGAAAGCTAGAGATACTTGATAACTGCTCGTGCAAAATGGAATATGATCAAATGCAGACTAGAAATTAGAAGGCTCATAATTGCTGGTTTCCTTCCTGAGAAAGATGTTGCCAGCAGTTAATGTGTGTGCTTATCCATAGGTGTCTCTGCGTAAGCAGGAGATCGAGGACAGGCTCAATGCCTGGATTGTGTTCAATGAAAAGAATAAGGAGCTGTGCTCCTGGCTGGTACAAATGGAAAGCAAAGTGTTGCAGACTGCAGATGTTAGCATTGAAGACATGATAGACAAATTGCAGAAGGTAAGTAGTAACGCCACTTTTCTTCAATTGCAGTCTGATAGCTCGTTATAGAGACACCATTCCTCATTTCTTCCTTGACTCTCGGAAGCGATACGTGATATAAAACCAGCACGTACAGGCTCTTGTGAGAAGATGAGCTTTTCTAGCCTCAGCTCTTCTTGATGTTCAGACTTGGAGCATAATGCAAAACAGAAATGCCACCTGGCTGCATTTAGGCATGGAGTGTGATGTATGTGAGTTGCGATGGTGGGGGTCTGGATTGTTGGGGTTTTTGGGCACAAATGCACATACAGCACTGCTCAGAGCTTTCCCTGATGGGGATCAGTGGTGTCCTGGGAGCGTCTCACTGCTCTCACCACCTCCTGTGTCAGCAGTTACGAAACTGGTAGTCAGAGGGCAAAGAAAAGATTGAAGGACAGGATAGGTCTTATGCCAGGCGAGCAAGAAGTTACCACAACCAAAAATAAAACCTAGTTCTGCCCCTTCTCCTTGGTAGTCACTGCAGTTAGTGCTTTCGAATACTTTCATATTAGTTTTAATATGAAATACGATTTTAAACAGGACCATTGTTTTGCTGCCGTGTTCCTCCCAGTGGCTTAAAGGTCTCGATATCTAATCCCAGATCTCCTCTGGATAAGAATACCGGCAAAATAAAGCCATCCTAGGCTTGAATTTGGGTTCTTTTGAGGTAGCTTGGTTGAAAAATTCTGTTAAATCAGGAAAGCAGAGACAGAATTAGAACATTAAACTGCTATTTTTAGGAGTACTTACTCCTGGCACTTGCAAGCCTTTAAGCTGCTTATTTTTTTATAGTGGCTTCAGTTGTGAGAGTGCTTTTCCATTGAGGTTTTTTTTTTGTTTTGTTTTAAGTGAAGGAGTTCTACATGCTAATGTAGAAACCTCAGACATTGCAAGACAAACCTGACTTCACATGACACACGTGGGAAAAGAAACAGATAGTTTTGTTTTGGTTTTGTTGTTTTGTTTTGTTTTGCCCAGGTATTAAGCAATGTTTGTGTATATTTATCAGGATTGCATGGAAGAAATAAACCTGTTCAGTGAAAATAAGCTTCACTTGAAACAAATGGGCGATCAGCTAATCAAGGCTAGCAACAAGAGCCGAGTTGCAGAAATAGATGATAAACTCAACAAAATCAATGATCGCTGGCAGCATCTCTTCGATGTCATTGGAGCACGGTAAGAAAATTATTTTCAATGTTTTATATGAGATAAAAGTCAGAGGCTAGTGTCCTTGACCATCAGAAACAGACTGACACGACTTTTCAGTTCTGTTGAAATTTATTATTGAGAGTCAAATGAAACTGAAGTTAATGCTTTTTCATTATGACTTGTTGCTATATTATGACACCAAATGTCTTAATTTATCTAGTGGTAGAGGGCAGGGTGTAAGAATTCATATAAAATATAATTTTAATCATGGGAGCTGTGTAAAAGGAAGAGTCAAAGTGATTTCTCTGTTGCATGTGTTGAATTGCAACTTAATTTTAAGGCAGTATGGTAGGAGTTAATTTGGGCTCTTTAGGAGAGCCTCCTGTTTTAAGACAAGCCTCTATTTCACCCTATGTCTGAGTGCACAGAATTTGAGAATAGATTCCTGGCCTGTCTCTGTAGACAGTCAGATTTGTATAATGATAATGTTCCTTTTTTACATTCAAAAGTGTATGAAATTTAATTTAATATTAGTGCTATTTCTTTACTCAGTCTCTTTCCTAAAAACAACTGGAAGACCATACCATGAGTTTATTTTTTAAATTCAGGATCTTCTGCATGATGGTGAAATGGAAAATACTATCAGTTGAAATTAAAAAAAAAACCTGCATAGTCTAGGCAATGACCTCTTCTTAAAGGATTAAACATCTTTCTGATACTAGACAGAGTTAAGAACATCATGATCATTTTGGTATTAGCCTTACTGAGATGATCCCATTTCACTATTATCTCTGAGTTTCTACCACAGCTTGGGAGGAGGATGCTAGGCCGGTTTCACCGCCTGCCCGAGTTTATTAGTAATCCAGAAATAATGAGGCAAACACCATATTAGTCCTGGTCTAAACTTCTCTCCCAAGGTCTTGTTTCACCTGTAAACCCCCTCTCTGGGCCCTCAGAAGCTCTCTTGCTCACGTTTGGGAGAGATAAGGTGGGGTGGCTGTGCTGTGACAATGTAGTGCTGTGTGCTGGATCTTAACCAGGAATGAGATCTGAATTAATGGTGACACATGAGCCATGAATGATTAAGCAGAAGCTGCCGTCTTAAGATCTAACACTTTGCAGATAGCCTTGCAATGGTTTGTCTCAAGGTGTCTTTTTATTTGATCCGGTGTGGGAAAGAAAACTTCACTTTTGTAACAACACTTTTTCTGTTCTCATCTTATGGTAACATGCAACTTTATAAACACTTTTATGATCATTTGTGTTCTGCTGTGTGTTAGTTTCGAATTGTAGCAATTTTTAAATGCGGATTAAAATGTACTATTTTAAAACTGAGGTAAACATGGCACATTTCTAGTAATATTTAGGAAGTATGCTAAAGAACTGATGGGATATTTAGAGAGAGATCTGGCAGTCTTATTCAGGTAGTCTGTGACAACAGAGCACTTGTTTGTCTACCTGGGATCTCTTAAATCTTTACCTTCAGACAAGTGTATTGTGGTGCTTTGAGGTACGTTAATGCAGATTTGACTAGAGCATCAATGTAGCTCCCAGTATTGGATATCTAAGTGGATATTGCAGCTCCTGGGGAGTTGGTGTGATGCTTTATGATTGTTCCTATGTTCTTAATCCAAAAGGTCTGCAACATGCCAGCTTCTACTTGTGATTTCCACCAACTTTGTGCTCAGGACCAGGGTAATGAACTGGAAGGACCTGACAAAATGTGGTTTTAAGCAGCTCCCTCAGTGGTCCAAGTTATCAGGCAGCCCAGTGGGCTCTGCTGGTCCTCTTGGGCCTAATGCTAACAGAGGTTCAGTGTATTGCAGCATTTTGCAGCATGTGTGTAGCACATCTCCTCCCTCATCTAATCCACCTTGCTTGGGCTTGGCTCACAGCTCATCTATTCTCGGCTGCTCAGTGATAAATAATACTGGGCTAGACACTCAGAATCTGAGTATGGTCCTAAGAGTTTATTTTGCCCTGTTCACAACCTTGCGACTTTCCGTTTTGAGATTGCTGCTATGGTGGTGGCTTGCTGCTGAGATTTGAATTCTGAAGGAATTAAATTAGACTTCAGTTGACTGAAATTTCCACCTCACCCATAGGTATGCTTTGGAGCACTAAAGAGGAGGCTCCTCCTATGCTTTTGGGTAGCCTCCCTGAAGCTCAGGTGATGGAGGGGAGGTAGCAGTTCTACTGATCACAGATGTGACACAAGTTGGGCCTCTTTATGGGGGAGTGGAGCAGAGCAAGGAGCCTTGGGCTAGAGGCAAGATGACTTGTGAGCATGGGTTGCGATGCCCCATGATGATAGACTGTTTCCTTCCTTTTCAGTTTGCTTTTGCCTAAACTTAAACAAAAAAAAAATCATATTTAAGCTGTGCTGAAAGAGCACATGAAAACAGAGTGGTGGCAAAATTCGTGTTGGCCCTGTTGCATGAAGCCATCACAATCCAGACATCTTCACAGGATCTCAAACATCCGCCATCGCCAGTTTCATTCAATGGATAGGATGGGTTGGCTCCAGGGAGGTTGGAGCCTGTAGGGCATGGTACGGGGGGCTGTGCACCGACTGCTGCCCGGTGGAAGAGAGACTGCAGCGCTGCACAACTGCTGCCATGGCAGCATACCCGGACGAAGCCCTTTTTGTTGGGCACTGCTTCATTTCTTGGGGAAGACAAAAGGGACGGAGGAGATGCTTCAGGGCAGGACTGCCAGAGGGCCTTGGAGGGTTTGAGGCAATTGAGGTAGGAGAATGCTGCCTGGAACGAAATAATTCATTTCGACCGTGGCAGGGAGACAATCTTATATTGCTCCTGAAAAAACTACTTGTAGGAACTTATTTTCACAGCACCTCCGCAAAATGACAAAGTGGTTTTGCTCCTGGCTTTTCAGATCAGTAGCTGCGGCAAGTAAATTGAAGTGAAAATTTTCTGAGTTTTTGGGTGCCGAATCTGTGACTTGAAGATTTTTTTGACAAGTATTACGACTTCGGCACTTTCTGTTAAACACATAACCAGCTGCTGCCTTTATTCACACTTGCGGGGTGCACTTCAGCCCACTGCACTGCTTCCCTGGCCCCCAATGGCTGTCCATCACAGGGGCGAGGACCAAATCTCACGATATTGTCATGGCAGGCCAAGACTTGGGCAGTAAGTAAACTACAGGGCCATGCACTAAGTAGGAGGAGAAGATGTACATTGAATAGCTGTGTGTTCGAAGCCAGTCCTCCATTCTGGGTGCTGACTCTTTCTAGGAGACAAGCACTTTATGATCCTGTGGTTAAAGAGTATAAAATAACCTATATCCACAAAGGAGTCTAATTGAGATTTATAGCCAATTTCAGTTCTGTGGTTTCTAATGGCTCCATGGCTGACCCTGCAACCTGAGTAACATTTTATCTTTTCTGTAGTGCAGTGTATGGCTGTGTGATACCACCATGAAACCAAACTAGTCTCGAGCCAATGTAACAATACAGAGCATTCCTCCTGGTAGCTTATTTCACCTTTTTAAACCAATAAATGTCCTGGGACAGATGGGCAAATTAGGTGAGCTCTCCATTTAGTCCTTGAAGTGATTCTCTTAGTTCATGGTGACAAGTTCAGATTTGCCATATGGCTGCTCTTGCAGGACTTAACACTTTCATTATATGCCTGTGCTCAGCTTGTGAGGTGACAAAAGCTTTGCTTCATGTGTTGCAGCCGGAGGGTGGCTTGGTGCAAACTTGGAAAAGTCTCAAAATGTTAATTCTCGTGGGATGAAGTAACCATCATGACGTTGGTATGCCTGGAAAGGAGAACAAATGAATTTCTGTTCAGCTCGGAAGATACTCTTACCAGGGGAGGTTCTCATGCTGAAGTCTCTGTTGATAGAGGGGGAATACAAACATACTAATAGGCAGAAAGGGAGCATTGTGCTGACTGTAAAAATGGACACAGAAAATCTCTTGCTTTTTTTCTTTTGTCACCAGCCTCGTAGCAGCACTCTGCCAGAAGAAACTGCTGCATGCTTGCACATGCACCCAAGTGAAGGCCTGAAACAGTAGGAGAAGGAGTGTACAGGCTGCATGTGGGTGGTAGACAGTCAAAAACCCATGGAGTGGCATTTACATCCCTAGCATGCTCTGGAGCAGCACTCCCCGGCCATGCATTAACTGGCAAGAATTGCCAAGAACTGTGTTGTGCACAGCCATGTTCCTCAGTGTCCTTCCCTGGCCCATCCACCACTGATACTAACGCCACGCTTTGCTTCCCAGCCCAACGGGGAAGTGTTTGCCTTCTGCGCTGCTGTTTGCATAGTGCCTGCTGGCAGACTGGAGGAGCACGCACGTGTCACGAGAGGGTGTCTGCACTGCCTGGGGTTGTGCAAAGCATTTGGATGGTGCTTCATTGAAGCCACCAGCTTCATCAGGGGCTGCCTCTGGCCGTTTTGGGTCTGCAGACCAGTCTCTACAGTAACCAACGTTGCATTTCTGTACCTCTGGGCATCCTGCAGCTCTTCCCACTGCCACTAAGCTGTGGAAGGGGGATGCCATTTCTCAGCTGCTCTGGCTGTGGGCATGCTGTGATGTGTTTTCTTACTTGGTGGGTCTGGTCTGTGTTCTCAGCCTTGTGGAGAAAGGCACATTTTTTGTGTATGTAGCAAAAAAATGACTGTGACCTTTAATGGAGCACAAAAATACAGGGAAGCTAGCAAGGCCAAATGTGCCTTCTCATTCTTTTAAATGTGAATCCTTGGCAACTAGGTCTTTCCCCTGTGTTCACAAGCTGCCAGCCCTCATTGCAGGGTCCAGGAATCTTAAACTGTGACAACAAAAGTCAGCCCCTTCCTTCCCAAATCGAACTTGGGAGATTCAAGGTGTTTTCAGCTGGTTTCCTGCGCACCCTGGCTGAAATTCCCAAACAGCCCAAAACTGCTCAGGTTGCAGTAAAATGGGAAGGAGTTGAAGCTCTCCAGTGACACCATCTTGTGCTGTGCAGGGGCTCCGCAGAGGTTTTATTGGGGAGCTCCAGTCAGCTGCCGCTCTG